AAAGACAATAATGGAAAAGAAAGCTGAAGGCAGAACAAGAAGGGGAAGACCAAATATGAGATGAATTGGTTCCATAAAAGAAGCCACAACCTTGAATTTACAAGAGCTGAACAAGGCTGTCAAGGAGAGGACAACCTTTAATATTTGAAATAGCATTGTTTCTGCAGTTTAAGGCAGTGTGTCAAAATCTGGCCAGGATGAAACAATTTTCCCAGTGCCCCGTCCATAAACTGGCTAAAGTGAATTTCTCTGCTGTAAAATATAATTTTACTCTACTATAGAATGTAAAATATGTTAAAAAAAAAAAAGGAAAAATTGTCCCCAGCTGTGATAGCAGGAAGGGGATACTCTGCAGCGGGAGTCCCAGTTCCCACTCTGAAATGCATTTCTGAGGTTGAAAATGGGTCTCCAACCTATCCTATGGCTGCCTAGACTGGAAATAGGACTTCAACCTAGGGCACTAAAGTCTTGCGGCTGGGGTGGGGATGGGGAATAGGCAAATCTGAAAATTGCCTTCCCAGGCAAAGTGGGGCATACCTAATCCTAGTTGAAATTTAGCAGTCCTGGGAATTCTTTATACCTCATCCTGTTTGGATTCTCTAGAACAGGAGTCTCAAACTTGCGGCCTGAGGGCCAATTGCTGGGATGGGCGGGGGGCGGGGCAGGGGCCCTGCTGCCTTCGAAGTGCCAGCGGTGCCCGGGCCGGCCTCCGGGAGCGACGTGGGATGAGCGGCCCACCACCACCACGGTGGTGGAATACTTGATGCGGCCCAGCCTCACCCAGACTCTACTTCCAGCGGCACCCAGGTAAGTTGAGTTTGAGATCCCTGCTCTAGAAGTATGACTTAAAATCTGGTAAGACATAATTTCATAAAATAACATATGAGCCACAAGTTTAGAAGAACTTCATCAGTTGTGTATATTAGAACTTAAAATATCATGTGATCCAAGCTTAACAACAACAACGATGACAAGGACGACAACGACAACAACAACACTTTATCACCCTTCTGTACTAATCAATAGCCAAAGCATTCTGGGCAGTTTATAGCTGAAAAGACAAATACGAGATAGAAGCCAAGTGTCTCTTCTGAAAATGCCATACATGGTTCAAAATGAATTAAGCTTGTGTTGGAAAACTGACACACATAAATGAGCATCAGTGTGGAATGTATATTAAGTCCCTGGCTCTCATGTGTAAGCAGATTGGATAGATGGGTAGATGGATAGATAGATACGCAGCTATCTAGCTAGAGATATAGATATAAAATGAAGATGTTAATTCATCTTTCAATATGTACAAAATCTTGTTTTTGCCTGAGTGTGCTTCAGTTCAAAATGTATGCCCTTATTGTATTTCCTGGCACTAAATTTTCTTCATAGGTACAATGATGAAAAATCCCTTTATCCACTAACATTTTGTGGCTTTTCCAGTCATTTTGTGTTTGTTTTTATGCTCACTGGGGACAGTCTTTTATGGGTAGCTTTGATCCTTCAAGAGGCTGACTGAGCACAGGAAGATTTGATAACTTCTACCTATGGAGAGCTCTTTGCTAGTTTGAGGTTTAGGCTCGTAAAAAGCAAAATGAATTCTTACAGTACAGTACTCATTAGAAGAGTGGCGATACTAGTTAAGACAAAAAGTTCAATTTTCTTTCTGTCATGTCCCTTTTTTGGCCAAGGCCATAGCAATTAAAAAGCCTTTAAAACTGCATAAATAATCTTAAATTTACCTGGTATGGAATGAACTATGGGAAAGGGGGAAAGAGAACTTAAACTGCAATATTAAGCTTTGTTGTTTCACACGGCCATTATTCTGCATTGACAAAAACTTAATGGTAAGCCATTCTAGTTCAAGGTGATAGAGTTGTTTCATATTTTTTCCTTTGTATTTCTTTTTTAGAATGATCAGAAATTTAGCAATGAATAAAACTGAGCAATGAGTCCAAAACCAAGATTATATAAAAAAGAAAATAAGGAAAAATGGGTTGGACTGTACAGCTCAATAAGACATCAATAGACTGCTGCGATAGGAGCAAGGTAGACCAAAATGATTAAGAGGCATTAAAAAATAGATTAATAAGGCTGGAGAGTATGAGCTGAAATGAATTACATGAAATAGAAAGGCATTATTGAAGGAAGTGTTTCCAAGGCTGACCCAAGGAAGATGGAATCATAAGGAATAAGGCCCTGGCTCATGAAAATTAATTGTCACGTCACAGGGATAATTTTCAAGAAAATGTGTTAAAAATGGACCAGAATATACTTTCTCTGCATAATTTACCATTCTCAGCAGTTCATCAATGCTTTTCTGTACCGAACCAGTTATATGTCATTTAGCCTAAACGAAGATACAGAATTCCAGAACAGAGCAATCATATGCCTTTATATCCTTTAGATTTTGGTTTTTTAAATACAAAATGTATAGTTCAGGGGAAGTTGTTCTGTGGCTGTTATGCCAATTTCATTACACACCAAAGACGTACCAGACACAAAGCTCATGCATACAATGAATGGAATATATAAAGTATCAGTGGGCATGTATACATTATCTCCTAAAATATGGAATACCTCATTTATATATACATTCAAAACCATGTCCTAGTATCAAGAACCAGTGATTGAGTAGCATGTCTTCCAAGGAGACTGGCGGATCTCTGATGGGAACCATTATGGAATATTGGACTAGGACTCAGGAGATCCGAGTTCTAATCTCCACTCAGTCATGAAGCTCATGGTCCTAACCTACTTTGGTCCTAACCTACTCACAAGGTTGTTGTGAAGATAAAATAGAGAGGGAAAATTGGGTTTCCTGCAGGAAAAAAGGAGGGATATAAATTTAAATAAACAAATATCTTACACACATCCAGTTGAAATGCATTTTTAAACAAGGCCATATGAATCACACCGATTAATGACAAATAACAGCAGACACAATATCAAGATCTCAGCTGATAATTTAAAATTCCATGCTTTCTGCATCATGCCCCTGTTCTTTAACTGGTTTGAATCTGAAGAAGGTAGATTGGTTTTTCACTAGAAATAATGTCTTTCTGAGGCTTCAAATGTGCTCCTCTCTAGCTAACTTAGCATTCAAAGAATGCATGGTGAATTTATTCCAGGCCTTGCAGAGCAGTATTTGAACAGGCTTCAGAATGTTAGTGTTTTGTTTGCTCCTTAGAGATTATTCTGCAAAGATTTGGAACTGGTTCTCTGAATTGTCTTTCTTTTTTTTAACTCTCCACAAATCATAGGGGATAGAGAAATAGCATATACACTGACATTGTTTGTGGTGTGTGTATGTGTAGATAGATGTGATGTTGAGGCATACCCTTTTTGACGTTAAACCAAGTCCCTTCCTTTAGTTATTAAAGAAATTCAGAGAAACAGCATCAGGCAACAAATACATAGACATAAACCCATTTGAGATTGCATCCAACATAATGCAAGTGTTAAAATACAAGAGGTGACATTATTCTAATAATGCTTGCATTTTTTAGTTGAGGTTGTGCAGGAACTTACGGAACAACTAGCAAAAACAATGAGCATAACAAAGAAAAATATGAGTTGTGAAAGCACTTGTGCAACAGCTTGCACAAGCAAAATCAAAGAATTGGATTTGATCTTTGCACAATGGTAATGATGGTGTTTCTGTAACTGCTTGTGGAAAGGTACCATCTGATACAGCACATTATGCAGACCCCCCCCCCCGCCATATTACTGCCCATAATATTCACACATAAATTAACACATTCTAGGATGAGGATGAATGAAGTGTATTTCAGAACATGTGCCATTTTACTATTATTCCTTTCTCCTATTGAAATGGAATAACTAAAGTGGAACAATGAAAACAAAGTGAGGTTGGGAAAAAAGCACAGCCCCACGATCAAGTACCATGTACATAACTAGCACATTGGTTATTTATTTGAAACATTTTTACCCCTACTTATATTCAAAATGGATCTCTAGATGGCTTACAAAGACATGGAACCATAACAGCATTGGATAGAGCAAATTTACAATCATAAAAATAAAATATATTGTAAAACAATTCTATGTTGTTTTACCAACCAACCAATCGACTCTTAAAATATTGGGTTAATAAAAATTGGGTTTGGGCCAGTCTCTGAAATGAAAAAAGCATCAGTGCCAGGCATACCTCTCTGGGGAGCAGATTCTATAGACAGGGTGCTGCCACAGAAAAGGCCCTTCCCTGGGTAGCCACTCTTCTAACATCTTTCAGAGAGGGCTCTTGTATATGGACCTCAGAGGAAGATCTTATGCTTTAGGCAGGTATATATAGAAGGAGATAGTCATTCAGATATCTAGGCCCTAAACAGTTTAGGGCTTTATATGTCAAAGTTAACACCTTAATTCAGGTCTGGATTTACTTCAATTGGTAACCAGTGAAGATGATATAGGACTGACATTATGCAATTTCTCCTGCTAGTCCTAGTAAGCTCAATTCTGTACCAACGGAAGTACGAGGACCATTTCCTAGGATAACCCCATGTAGGGAGTGTTACAGTAGTCCAATCAGGAGGTTACTGGAGCATGTACTATTGTGGCTAGGCTTTGCCTGGCCAGTATAAAGAAATACGAGTGTATATCAAATGAACAACGATTATATTTGGATCCTATTTTATAAACTGCTTTCACTCTTTATCTGAAAGCTACAGGTTGTAAGGGCCACATGTGTACTAGCTGCCTGCAGAACTCCCCATGTATGTTTTTCTCTCCCACTCATAGCTGCTTTGTCTTCTTTGAGTACTTCCAGTGAATGTATATTCACACTTATTCTGTAGTATTCTTTTTACTGTGCAATAACTACTGGAACATAAACCAAAGATGCCCATTTTATTCCTGTTTCCTCTTAAAGATTTTCTAATTTGTCAGCCCACCCATATTGTTAATGAGTGTCAATCTGGCAGGTTGGGGGGTGCGGGCAGGGGATACAGTCATCATCCTATGAATTTTTTCCTTTTGTATCTTTTCAGAGGGGAGGCCAGTGTGATTGTAAAAGACATGTGTCTGGCAGACAGTGCAATCACTGCCAGGAAGGATTCTACAACCTCCAACAGTCAAACCCTGATGGCTGCAGCCCCTGTAACTGTAATGCCTCTGGGACACTCAATGGAGATATTACCTGTCACCAAAATTCAGGCCAGTGCAAGTGCAAAGAAAATGTTATTGGTAGGTATAAGACAAGCCAGATTCCTTTCCTCTAAAATACGAAAGAAATATATTTGAAGCCAAAACCTTTTAAAAACAATTCCAGGTCAAATGTGTTCTTTTTCATAATAAAGTATTATTGAATATAATATAATTATTAAATATTCCTATCCCATTGCAGCTGTGTCCAACTGCAGCTTGATGCTCTTTAGATTTTCCATAATTATTATATTTTAGTTGTTCTGGAAACATCTTCTACTTGATAAATATAAAAGTAAATTTGCTTACCATTGCCATAAATATTTCTCTGAAGAAAATACCACTTTTTCATGATGTTTTAAACTGGTAATGAGTTTTAAGAAAACAGTTTGTATATCAGACCAAAATAAATGGTGTTTCCTCCTCCAAATATATACTATTACAGGGTCCTTTCTGATAGATCTTTTCATTTTCTGCTATTATAATTTTTGAACTGTTCTTACGAAATGCAAAATGTCAACATAATTCTACAGATCTTATACATTGCTAAGGTTAGTTATCAAGGGCCACATAATTTTAATTTTGTAATTCACTGCCAAGTTGATTATAATAAACTGCTACCTTCAGAGTTATTTATCATTTTTTTTAACAAGACATGCTTTTTTGTTTGCAATTCCCACAGGTATTTTCCAGAAATTAGATTTGATTATAGCAATTTATTACTTCCAACATTTTTCAAGGGAGCCACATCTATGTAAGGATAAAATTTATCAAACACCCAAAATATACAGTGCATATAATGCACTTTGAAATATTGATGTATGGGAATATTATGCAAGGAGCATTTCTTGATGAAAAGAACTCTGAATGGTAACTGTTCATGTCCTGGACATGTGGATTTAAAAATTATATTATATTATAGCACCCCTCTATTAGAAAGTATTTTATTGCACAGGTAAATATGTCATATATTTATGTCATGAATAAAATCCCATATCTGCTGACCTGGGAAAAGGACCCACTGATCTCAGTAGAAATTAATTTTGAGCAAATGTGTTGAATTGTGCTTTAAATGTGTTAAAATCTCCAAAAAGTTTCTCTGTTATCAAGGCCTATGTTATGTCTAGTAAGAGCTTTATAAGCAGAACTCCTAGAGGACAGACACATCTTTATTTAATTTTGCTTTTTGCAAAAGAATGTGTGCAGTTTATATAGAAATAATGGAATCAAGTGATAAAGCATATTCTGAATTGAAACAGGCCAAGTTGCAGGTTGGAAATTGCATGTTTCATTGCAAAACAAGACAAAACAAGACAAGAAACCCATTAAAACACTTGATGTGGCCGTGTTTGTGTAGGCAGGGAAAACAGAATTTCCATATAATCTCCAATCATCTGTTCTTTTAAATAATTTTTAATATCCAGCTGGATATTTATATGATGAAAAGTATTAATCAAGTGTAGCCATGTAAACTTTCCATGGACTGTGAAAATACAGACAACTGATTATGAAGAAAAGACATTCCTTTTTGGATTTTTTTTTAAATATGGGGGAAATTTGCAATACAAGTTGTATTTTCTCATAACGTCTATATTTAACTTCTTACTTTATGAGTCCATTGTGTATGTTCACAAATAGACTCTTTATCTTTGATATATTAGAGTATCTTAAATGTTGCCAGAATAGGAAATAAGAAAATGAACCTATAATAAAGAAATAGAAAATTCAGCATTATTGAGTGAGCAAATAGAAGTTTTATCACCTAAACAGAAGATACCAGTAATGCTAATGGAAAGTTTCAGACAATAATCATTGTATAATGTAACTAAGGAGTTGCAACAGGATTCTTGGATGTTCCATCCTATTTGTTCAATTGACTACTATGGAAGAGTTAAATGCTATTTCATCATCCTATATAACATGTGTAACTGTATCTTTTAAATCAAGAGTGGGCAACCTGGACCACATGTAGTCACCACAACTTCTCACTATCATTGAAAAAATTATGTCCACAGCATCTGTGAAATGCAAAATATGTTAAATGTAGCTTGGAAACAAGCTAAATTTAATCACTGTAGCCCATGAAATGTGGTTTGATGCCAAAATTTCAGCAGCATGGACTGCACAATACTCCACAAAGAATATCACACAGTGGGAACTTGGAGGATGAAAATGGTCCCCAGTCTCCCAAATTTGTCTTCTTCTGTTCTAGATGGATGATGGGATTCCATAGTTATTCTATTTACACATGGTTTCCCACACCCTCTAGCTTGTGGACACTCTCCTAACAGAGGAGAAGAATGGTGATTTTAGCTGATTGCCCTTCCACCTGCCTACCCTAGTGTGTCACTTTCCATGCTTTTCTGGAAGATTCCCAAACACTTCAATCTATTTTTAATGAGCAGGGGGGAGAGCAGAATTAACCAATTCTTTCATTAATAGAGCTGTACAATGGATCAAAAGCAACTCTGTATATCTATCCATACAGAATAAGCTATTCTTATTTACTAGATGTATGTACGATTTCCTGGTAGATACTTTTTCCTTGAAAATAATAATAATAGCAGTTAAATAACTAGTCAGGATCAGAGGCCACCGTGTGTGAAATTCATACACACCAGAAAATGGAAGTTTGCATCAATTGATCTGTTTTTATACACTAATTTTTTCCTTAATTTTCCTCACTTGTATGCCTGTATGTGCATTTTCAAATATTAATCAGTCTTTTTCACTTGATGTAAAAGGCAGAGGAACCTAAAGCAGGATGATGTGGAAACTATGTTTTTTGCCATGCTACCGTGTTGCAGGATCAATATGTTTGGCAGATCTCAGATTATACAGCATTTGAAAGTATTTCATTATCATTCTCAACTTAGGACAAGGGGAGTGGAGAACACATGCATTATACAAAGAAAGTTCCAGATGCACCCTCTGGTTTTTGCTTTTACTCCAGGCAAATTTAAATTGCTATAAATTGCTCAGATCCTATGGGAAGGTACAGTATATAAAATTAGTGATAATAATGGAAATAAAACCTCCAACTGTCAGTCCTCATATTCACAGGTGTATATGACACCTGCTCCTTTGCAAGAGCAAGATGAAATACATCTACAATTAATGAGCAAAGGACTAGATCAAACTGTGAACTGCACATTGGCTTTCTTGGATGAGAATTGCACACCATCAGTCACCAGGAAACCTGAGTACACGGGGCTGCTCACTAAGTACACACAGTACATACTTGCTGTAAAACAGCTGCAGGCACAGTGGCATGTAGTCTTCATGCTCTCCATGGAAGACATTAGTCACAATAGAAAGTATCCCTGGAAGTATGTACACATTAAGATTGCTACTTTTGAAGTTCTTGATTACACAAGTAAAGTATCTTCTTGTCCAACAAAAATAGGTAGCATTGCACAAACTACACAACTTTCACATGAGTGAAAAGGGAACCTATCCAAGTCATGCAATTTATATCAAACATCTGCTCCTTTATAATACATAAACTTGATCCTTGATGGGAAAAGCTGATACCAAGGTCTTGATCTAGTGAGTTTTCCAATTTATTTCCTTTATTTATGACATTTTTCATGCTGCCCATCAACCATGTTCTTTAGGTAGCTTGCACATCTAATAAAATACAAATCAAATAGTGTCAAACTGGATCAAAACAATAGCAATACAACCAGCATAAAAATTACAAAATTCAGCATAAAAACAGCATGAGATCAGCAGAAAGAGCAGCCTGATAAAAAATCAATCTAAGAACCATTAAGGGGGCTAAATTATTAGAGCTCAAAAATTTTAGAGATACCTAAAATGCATAATCAAAAGCCCTGAGAAAATAGAGTGCTCCACTGGATACTGAAGTCATTCCAAAATAGGTGCCAGGTAACGCTTACTGAGAAGATCGTTCTGCAACCAGGGTATCCTCTCCATGCTTTCCTCATCTGTGTGCACACTACCCTCTCTCAGCTACTCATATAATGAGAACTGGGGCCAATTCTAACTACTGAACCAAACAGCTATATAGACATGACATGCATGCAATATGTGCACGTATTTCAAAATAAGCACTGATTTAAAAAAACAGCCACACCTGGATATACAAGTAACCTCAGAGTCCATTGTCATTGTGTCTTGCTTAAGCAAGCTTGATAACCGAAAATGTAACTAAGTGCTGCCATGTTATGGAGCATGAGCTGTTAGAGTTAGCACAACTGTTAAATCTTACTAATGATCCTATCACCAGTAAAATACATTAGCACCAATAATTTTATTAAAGTAGGTCATTCATCTAGAATAAAAAAGGGAGAAGAATGTGAATTAAATGCCAAGCGTGCTAACTCCCCTGTACTTGTTAACATTGAATGCGATGCCCTGTAGGCCTTTCTCGGTATCGTTAGGAATAGATTACCTGTCAGGAATATGTATGGCATATTCAAATAAGCACTGCGCATATTTTTAAAACTGATATGATATGAATCCATGTAGACCAATTTTAATAGTTCAAAATGAGTCATAATTCTTGTTAACAATACAGTTATTTTTAAAATTTGCGGCAATAGTGGTCCTTTTTTATTTTCCTTATTGAAATTAAATGATATGCCTTAGGTGAGCCATTCATCACTGCTAAAGGAACTTGCCTTCTGTTGGAGTTCTCCAGTTTTTATCCATATATAATGCATTCTCCACTGATTTGGGGGTTGTTTTTTCGACACAGGAAAGTCTAAATATACCAATATATTTGTGTGCTTGTGTGTGTTTTATTAAGAATGAACTTGTTTGTTAAAACATGGGACTTCTACTCTGTTATAGCTTACTGTGTAGTACAATTCACAGAAGACAGTATGGTGGAATTTTATTGTTTGTTGATTTAAAAGTATAAAAGCACACTTATTCTAAAATATGGATTACAGGGTGGTGATACTTTCAGTCTTAAAATAAGACTAAGCAGCAAGTGGGAATTGACATTCCCTAAGTAATATTCTTTCTTTCTTGGATCATGCAATTTAGAAATTTAAAATGTAGATGCAATTCCTGAATAAGAAATAAAAGTTTTTAAAAATTAAAAAAAAAACTGTAAGGAATGCTGGTGAAAGCATAAAGCAATGACTGTTTAAAGAAGACTAATGGAGACATCAGCTGATACACCAAGAATTATTTTAGTTTCAGATGTACCATCAATATTAACAGGATACAATGAAAATACAATTACATTTTGTATCATGAAAGCAAAGTATCATATTTATTTAGGAAGATCTATAAATAAACACTGGCATATTTAATGCTAGCTAAAAAGTATTTATAGTCAAATGTTTTTGTGACAGTTAAAGTGTAGTACTCTTATTAGAAATCTGGAGTTTGGCATTTATTTATTTGTTGCATTTATATCCTGCCTTTTCTTCTGTGGAACAAAATGGTATACATGAGCCTCCTCTTCTCCATTCAGTCCTCACAACAACCTGGCAAAGTAGGTTAAGGTGAGAGTCCAAAGTGACCTCATGAGCTTGATGGTTGGATGGGAAAACTCTAACCAAGTAACATACTTGGATGTGAACAAAAGAAATGAAATGAAATAAATATGTTTAAATATATTTTGTATAATTAAAACAATAACATTAATTATGGTTTTAGTATAAAGCAACAAAATAGCAGTGATAGTGAAATACTTCTGTTCTGCCTTAAAAGATTCCATAAATTCAGGGTAGATCATTGTAAAATGAATAGACTTTAGAATATGGCCTCAACCAGATTGGGATCTTTAGTAGTGGCAGCAAGACCATTACTGACCATGCTGAATCAATTCCCTTAATCTTCAAACCATTGAGAATATTTTCTTGAGAACACAGTAGGAGAAGAGTGATCCTAAATTTTTGACATTTAGAGGGTCATGGGATGCTTTGGATTCCCAGATCCAAGGATGGAAAAACAGCTCTGACCTTAGACTGGGGATTTGCACTTGCATCCCACCCATCCCCCCCCCCCCACACACACACAGATGGTGTAAGAAGCATCTCTCTGGCTACACCTCTGAGGTTATGGGAAGAACCAAGGAGAGAGGTAAGTGGGCTTTGCAGTAGATGGGAAGGAGAAGAGACTGTAATGTATCATGGTGGCCACTAGATGGCCAGAAGCGGCTGTCTAGCTAAAATGCAGGAGGAGCAGGATGACAGGGATTGCTTCCATGTTCTCATGTCCTCCATAAATTGGTATTCCTCTGGAGCCTTATATACATTTCCAATAGGGTTTGTCCTACAGGTTCATATACATAATAGCCACAATAAATAGGAAGCTACCTTATTTTGAATTAGACCAATAGTTCCTTTGGCTCAGCTCCATTACACTGTCTGGGCAGCAGCTTTAAAGAGACTGAACCTGGGACTTTTTGTGTGCTAAGCATGTGCTCCTTCACTCAGCCCAGCTCTGAATACTATGGCACTGCTTCCCAGCAGATTCCCAATAGTCAACCCAGGTTGCTAGCTGGGGAAACCTGTTGAAGTGACTCCAATTTTCTCATGCGCAGGATACGATTGAAAAACATATTTCAGACTGGAAGAGAATTCCCTCAAATCTTGTTGGCTGCTAACTTTTATTTTGTTCCATCTGTTACAATTGCCTGGATCATTGAGAGTAGCTTGCTCTTCAAGCACCTTTCTGTGCTACTTCTGCTCTATGCCTGGGTTCCATCAGTAGTCAAAGGAAAGAAGCAGGAGGTAATGTGTTACTGTTTTGCAACAGGTCCTGGCCTAGATGTCCTATTATCCCCTTCCAATTCAAGGGTGTAACACAGGGACACCTAGCCTTCCCATTTGGCTTCACGTGGTACCATGCAGGGTGAGAGCTTTACTTCTGACTACTTTTTTTCTCATAGTAATGCAATTTCTGCTTCCAGGTCTCAGATGCGATCACTGTAACTTTGGATATAAATACCTACACAATTTTAAGGAAGATGGTTGTGAGCCTTGTCAGTGTGACATCTATGGTTCCATGAATGATCTCTGTAACCCTTCCACTGGTCAGTGCAAGTGTAAGGAAAATGTAAAAGGACTTCATTGTGATATCTGCATTGATGGCTTTTATGGGAAGGATGCTTCTGGCTGTAAGCCTTGTGATTGTCAAATGGAAGGTTCTGTTTCTGGTACCATGTGTGATCCTAAAACAGGGAAGTGTTTCTGCAAGCCAAACTTTGGGGAAAGGCAATGCGACACCTGCATAGAAGGATATTACAAAGTGCAGCAAAATGATTCTTCAGCCTGTTTACCATGTAACTGTGATAGGTCAGGAACGGTAAATGGCTCTTTGTTGTGTGACAAGTCAACAGGACAATGTCCTTGCAAAACAGGTGTCACTGGCCTTCAGTGCCACCAGTGCATGCCTCAAATGTACAACCTCACTGCTCAAAACCTTCTTGGTTGTGAGATTTGTGACTGCGATCCTTTGGGGACAGTGCTAGGAACTGCCTGTGATCCAATCAGCGGTCAATGTGTTTGCTTATCTCAACGCTACGGAAGGAGATGTGACATGTGTAAACCAGGTAAGAAAATAAGACCCCAAACAGCTTGGGAACTGTTTCTTTCAGGGTGCTTTTTCTTTCCTTTTATTACACAGAATGTGTCCGGGGGTGCATCTGCAAGAGGTGTTATGAATGTCAAATGTGTTGACACTGCATACAATTCCTGGAAGCTGATATTGGCTATATGGTACCTGTAATACTGATTCCCCATCAGTTGATGCCAAATCAGTTGGAGGATCAGCATGTTAGACTGGTTCATTTACAGCAAAAAGATTAAATGCATCATGGAACACACTCTGAGTGTGAGGGGTTGGACAAGAAAGGCTTAATGGGTCAGAAGTACTGCTGAAGTTGATCAAACCAGCTGGCCAACTCTGACACTGCATCTATTTTTGCTATATAAATTATACGTGGGATGTTGCCATGGGAACTCACTGGCCAACTTGCTTTATTTCACAAATAGCAGAAACATACATGTTCATAAATGAACACAGTTGGTATGCATTTGAGAAAATATGCACAAAAATAAAAAGGCATTTATTAAAACAGTACATAATGCTTCCCATTACTTTTCAGTTCATTTTTAGTTGAATTTTCTCTGTAACTTTAATATTTCCTTTATAAGTTGTGGTCTTATGATCGAATGCACAATTTTGACATTATCTTTTTCTTTATTAGGGTTTTATGTTTCTGTGCATGCTGTCAATGGCTGCTTTCCCTGCTTATGCAATGCAAGGGGGTCCGTGGATGAGATCTGCAACAGTCTCACTGGCCAGTGTGTTTGCACGGATTTTTCTGTGGCTGGGATGAGGTGTGATCGTTGCAAGGAATACTATTATGGGTTTGATTCAGAAACTGGGAGGTAAGTGTTTTAATGCAGCATCGAGTTGTATTTCTGTAAGCTTCAATTTTCATTTCATGTCTGTGTTCTATGAGAGAGGTACTTTTGTCAAACAGATAGACAATCCTGTGGGAAATTCAATGATTCTCTGTGCTTTTTGCCTGTGTTCTGGACAACTAATCAGAAACTCAGAGGTGTGAAAAACCCCTAAATGATTATTTTTATGCTCCAGGGAACTATGCTGTCTGTAAGTTAAGCCCCCCAATGCACAGATCAAGAAAGTTTCCAAGCTGAGGGAGCAAGAGAACTCTCTAACCAGTCATGAAGCTTCTCTGATTAAGCTCAGTGAAGCCTCCCATCCTGACTGGTTCCAGCTGTAATCTAATCCTTACTCAAAATGAAAAGGGTCACATGTGGGAGCAGAGATGTTTGCCCAGGGGAGCGAGAGGGTTCCAGCTTAGCTTGATATATTTATTTATTGCATTTCTGTGTAACTGCACAATAGCCAAAGCAACTATTCTTTGCACTGATGGAATGAATCCAGAATGAGAAGACTGACTTGTTAGAAGCTGTCCTCACACACTGTTAGTCCCAAGTGGGAGGGGAATGTTTTCAGGGTAGAAGAAAAAGATGTAGCAATCGTTAGAATCCTGCAGCTTACTGGGAAAGTGAGGGTGACTGCAGTTTTCTTTCTTTCTTTAACAACTTATCCTACTTTTTATAGTGCAAATAACCCTAAAACAGAGCACAGTTTTGGTAAAACACAATGCTTTCATGCAATCCATCTATAATAAAACAAAGGCTTCTTTCAGAAAGCAGCAGTTTTGCTTAAATGAGAAAAGCAAAAGGGAACACAAGCTTGTACAAGAGAGATGCTCACAGAAGCAAAAGATGCAAAGAACTTTTTGAGAAGTATATTGCTAACAGCAACAAGACCAACAACAAAGAAGCCTTTCAATATCAGGAGTAAACCAGCTAGAGAGGCAGCTGGACCACTGGGTAATAATGGAGTACTGAAGGAGGATAGAAAGACTGCAGATTCTTTAGAGTAGTTTTTGAGGAGCTCCCAAAGGATCTCTTAGCAAACTGAAAGAATGGGAATTGAAACAGAAAGGTGGTTCAATATAAATAAGCATAAAGTAATGCACATTGGGTGATGATGGTTGGGGTTGTGGTGAACTGCTCAGCGAAATGTTGACCCAATGTACAGCTGTTATGGGAAAGGAAAACTCCATGTAAGACACAGTTAGAAAAACAAGCAAAAATAAAATCGCCAATATCATACCACTATTACTTGTATAAGAATCTATGGCTTGATTACATCTAGATTACTTTATACAGACCTGCACACTGCACTGAACAAAGCATATGAGAAAGAGTTGAGAGATAGAGTTGAGAAAGTGCATAGAGTTGAGAAAGTGCAGAAAAGGGCCACTAAAATGATCAAGGGCTAGAGCAACTGCCCTATGAAGAATGGTTGCAACATCTGAAATTGCTTCACTTGGAAACAAGGGAGTAAGGGAGACCTGAGACGTGTTCAAAATTATGCATAGTGTGGAAAAAATGGAGAGAGAGACATGGTTTTTTCCCCTTTAGTAATAACAAAATCTGACACAGAATGACAAAGTTGTTACCAGGCAGGCCTCAGTAGAGACATTATTCCAAAGTTGGGAACCACCAGTGAGAAGGCCCTTCTTGTTGCTGAGCTTTCTCTGTAGTTAGCACTTTATTTATTTGTTTAAAGCTTTTATAGACTGTCCATGTACTGGCGTCTTGGGATGGTTTACAACAAGCAACTTTGGGGAAGGACCCAGATGTTGAATGCAATGCTTGTATAGATTACAGTTAAGTTCTTCATCATGTATTGTTGTCCCAAGCCATGTTGGACATTATTGGTCAGTACCAGCACCTTGATTTGGTCTCAGCACAATATAGACATCCAATCCTAGCAGACCAGTACTGGTCTTACATGTTCAGACCTCCACATTTTGCACAAGTGCAGCTTCTGAACAGTCTCAAGGGCAGCTTCATGTAGAATGTATTGCAGTAATCTAGTTTAGAGATTGCCAGACCATAGATTCTTGAAATCAGGTTGCCCCTGTCCAGATAGGGGTGTAGCTGAGCCAGAAGCTGGAGGTGATAGAAGACACTCCTTGCCACTATGATTACTTGAGCTTCAAGTGATAGAGATGGTTCAAAGAAAATCTCCACGCTACTAAGCTGAACCCTCAAGGAGGGTGCAAGCCACATAGAACAGCTTGAACAGCCACCATCCAGTCAGAGGAATCACCCACTAGCAGCACTTCAGTCTTTATTGGACTAAGCTTAAGTTTGTCATTGTAATTCATTGCAGTCAGGCACCAGTTTAGCAGGTCAACAGGCTCGTCAGCTGGAGAAGAAAAGGAGAAATAGATCCATGTGTCATTAGCATACTGATTGCAACACCCCCACTCAACAGTTTCATGTAGATGTTGAATAGCGCAGGAGACATAACAGACTTCCAAGGAACTCCATGATGAAGAGTCCATGATGTTGAATAATACTTCCCAAGGACCACTTTGTTGAGCTGGCCTCCAAGTAGGTGTGGAACCACTGTAATGTATTACCCCTCATTTCCAATTTAGTCAACCCAGAAGGAAAGCATGATTGATTGGGCTGAAATCCACTGAAAAGTTTAGGAGGATTATTCACAGTCAAATTACTCTGCCTCTCGCGACATAGGTCATAATTTACATAAAGCTGTTTCCATGCCAAAACCATGCCTGAATCCCAAACACAATAGATCCAGGCAATCAGTCTCATCCTAGAGTGCTTGCGGGGCACTGAAGCACATTACTTGGATCAAGTGTTGTTATTTATCTGGTGCAAGATTACTGTTAGACATGAATAACAGACATTGAAAGTACCTGGACAGGTGGATCGTATTAATGAGGTCTAATATAATGACATGATACTGAGAGAAGCTTTTTTATAATTTGATGTATACTATCTGAGACATATTAAACCCTTCTACATAGAATAAATACTTAGTAGTAATGGGTAATGAAATTATATGGTATGAAATATTGTACTGCTGGACATATAGCATTCTCAATTTCCATATACTTTTCAGAAATAAAAATATTTTGTGCAGCCATGACATTTAAATACTCTAAACATAATCCCTGTTTGAAGGGGGATTTGGATACATCATCTATAGATGAAAGAATTTCATAGTTTTGGAAAAATAATGGCTTTTGCTCTTGATTATAAAAGAGAGGGAAAAATGACAGTATTGTACGTAGTTTCCCAGAGAGAATGTTTTTATTTATTCCCAAAGGGATATTATTCCATAAAACAAATTTGCAGCTTATTTTGCTGCCTTAGCTTTTATCAGTCTTTTAAAGGGTGTTGAACTCAGGAGATCACACAGTAAGAGTGACTTAAAAAACACTTTAAAATAAAGAATTGCAGTTAGAGGTTTGTGGGGGAGGGGTTTAGGGTGGTAAATTCATTGTAAGAAAATGCACACATTTAATATCTATTTAACTGCATAATTTAGTAGGGGTGGAGTTAGGAAAAATACCCTGTATAATTACCCTTAAACTGTGGGGTTGGGGACAGATAATACATTTTTAGAACAACTGAGTATAATATGATGCAGGCATCATTGTTCACAGTGTGAATTTCTTGTATTGTACAAACATCACTGATCAAGCAGGTTTTGAAACATTTACAAAAACCTGCAAATCCTGCTTGATCTGAGATGGGGGGGGGCGTTTCTTTCATATCACATTTTGAATACTTTAACAAAAATTGGCCTGGATCCCAAAATAAATTAACTGAAGGAAGTTCATGAGAGAAAATATAGTTTAACATACAGAACAAAATACCTGAAGGTCAAGGTGAAATGTGTCCTTTATTGAATAAAACTGAATTGCCTGTGAATTAGGGAAACTGACTAAGAAAAGGGAGATGACAGTTTCCATGAAGGAGTTCACACTTTAAAACCATCATATAGCAGCTGGTAGAGTAAATAGAAAAGATTCTGTAGGTTGCACAAGATTATTTTCACATGTGTTCCTCCCCTTGTATTCTTCACATTTCTGTCATGCTACTCAACCAGTCATTTCTCTCTTCTCCCACTCTTTTCTTTCTCTACATCTTTGAAAAGCCAGGCAAATCTTTTCTTCCCACTTACTGGGTTCCTGTCTTTGTTCCAGTGCATGTACACTATGCAGCAGCTGGGGAGGGACCAAGAAGTGGAGCTGATGGCTCCCTCACTGGATTCACCACTTGGTCACCATGGACCAGAGCCAAGCAGACTTGAGCAGGACAGGTTGGTGAGTCCTATCCATGGTATCCATGGTGGTGAACCTATCTCAGGTATGGAGTTCAGCAGTCTGGATAGCATGCATGAAACTCAGAATAAAGCCCCAGTAGTTAAGGAGCCACATAGACATAGCAGTCACCAGCCTTCCTTGAACCTGACAGGGAACTTTATTCGTCTTCTTCTAAGCTTCCCATGGGTGATCTGGCCCTAGCATTGTAAGGACCATTTTTCCTGCCTGTCCTCTGGTTCTTCTAATGCAGGGATCAAGACTTCTTTTAGCCAAACTGCAAATTCAAGTATGAAGAAGTTTTTGGTGACTGAACTGCAGTGGTGGGTGGGGCCAAAGACAAGGGGTGAATATTCTGTTCTGTTGTAGCAGGTCTCTCAAGGTTCAGGAGGGGTGGAGAGATAAGTGGGTAACACAAATTGGTGAAGATAGGCTGCTCTTACTTGTGAAAATGAAAGCACTCTCTGCTAAGGCAAAGCTATTGCTGGATACAGCCAGAAGTTATTAGGTGTTAAAAGCCCAAGCAGAGCAGAGCAGAGGAGTCTTATCAGCTATCACAGTATGTGTCTGTTCTAAAACTGTATGGTCCAAAGTACCAAAGGTAAAATTGCTGTTGCCAGGTCCACCATCATGTGCCATCAGAACCTTGAAGCATATTTCTTTGCCAGCAGCTGGATATCTTGCAGCTTCTAGTGGCTAATGAAGATTAGGATGAGTGAGAGGGACCCAGTGCAGAGATGGAGCATGGAGAATGCAGGACTTTTTAAGGAGACATGCTCACAAAACTCAGTGGATAGTCAAAGAGTATTGGCTCAAAAAGCAGAGCCGGCTTTCCTGCAATATAGATGGGCAATCTGGATATCCCATTGACTTTCCCTATCTTTAAAATACATATTTTTAAAGGCAGAGAACAACTGCAGCCAACTGACAATTATTTGCCTTCATTGTAGGGAGAGAGGACTCATTCTTCCAGGTATATCTCCTGGAAGAATGAGAGGGATGGAAGGGGAACCATCTGTTGGGCTCATTGCAGGTGCTTTGTGGAAAACTGATTGATTATGGTAAATCCCCATGATGGCTTGTTGTGATAGGCAAAACCACTCACTGGGTGCAGTACTCCAACCACTTGTTTCAGTAGCTTTTAACAATGCTGACCTCCTAGCAAATACAGAGGAATTTGCACATAGAAAGATGATAGAAGCGTGTTGAAATGGTTAACTATACCCATCTAATAAGAGTTCACTTCAGTATTTGTTTGGTCTCCATATTGATTTTTTTCATGTATTGATGCTTTCTAAAAATCCACATTAAAAAAAGAATGTCACAGTTTGCTACTTACCAAAAAGAAAAAAAAAAGATGTTGAAAGGCTGCCTGCCCTGGCTCCTTGCTTCCATTTCAGGCCATCTATGGTCTCTTATCCAGGCTGTCCTTGTAGTCCAATTGAGATCTTAAGTGTGGCACAATTATTAGAAGGAGACTATGGAGCTACCAGAGGCTTATGATGGTGGAAAGAAGAATCTAAGTCACTACTGTTACAGAGGCAGGATGGGGCTGTACACTGCAAGTGTGAGGCTGCTGAATAAGTGCAGGCCCACAAGGATCTGGTAGTTGGTCCCTTCAATGCTCCGTACACAAACTGGCAATGGCTGTCCAGGGTTTCAGGCAGGAATCTTCCACAGGCTTACCTGAGATACTAGAGATACCAGGTACTGAAATGGAGAGATGGACAGGTGAGAATTTTGCTTGGGTTGCTTCGTAAAGGTGCCATGAGTTGCAAATTTCTTCAAGTTCAAGATGAAAAAACCCTGAAGTTGTTGCATTGTGTTGTGCTTTTAATACATGTGGGAGAACCCAGACTTCTGAATTTGGCCATCCAGGCAGAAGGCATTGAGTGCTTAACTCTTAAATGACTAGGTTTGAATCGCTAGTCACTTGAGTACTAAAGTAGGGTTCCCCTTTCTTCTCTGATATGGGCCTTGTCTTTTGTAGCTCTACGGCAGAGAGTTTGCTCTGCTTCATGCTGGGAATAGCAAGATCTAGTGTGTGTGTGTGGGGGGGGGGTCCATAACTCCTGGGTTATGGAACTACATCAACCCCTCTGGTGATTGCACCCCCAGCCCTGCAGCCATGGCACTGAAATTTGGTGGCACAGAAGCAGCAGGGGAAAGAGGTCTGTTTTGCTTTAAAATACTCCCTTGATGTCACCAGCACATGGAGGAATTTTGGCAGCATGCTTCAACATTTGCCTTTTAAATGGAAGCATTTTATATTTTCTGTGGCTGCTTTGCTGCTCATTTAGGTGGTAAATGCAGCACTTAGGTAGCAGTGGGCCAGCAAAGGGTAATGAATGTGACCTAAAGGTTGCTTGGTGCCTGTTCCTAATCTATTGAATTTGGTTGGTTCAGACAGTTGAGAAAGCTCTTTTAATATCTGATCTAAATTTACTAGATTTCATAGAATGTAATTCTGAAATGCGAAGAACATGTTTTTTTATTTTAAAAACTGTAGGTAGGAGAAAGTGAAGCTGATAGATTTGTCAGCTTTCTTAACCTGGGAACTTTTGCGTGAAAAGCGTGTGCTTGGCCAAAGTTGCCCAGGCAGAGTAATTATATAATCACAAGCAGAAGAAATACCGTAGGGCAAAATTGCTAACTGCACATTTTTATTTAAAGTGAGAGACATCTTTATGTTTTTGGCTACAGCCCAGAGTGTTAAGGCCTTCAGTAGTGGTACTCAATTACTGAGTCAAAAGAAACTACCAAATTAAGCTCTACTGTTTCTAACTGAAGTGTTAATATGCTTTCATTACTTTCTTGATTTGTTTTTGTTTATAGATGTCAGCGTTGTAATTGTCATCCTGCAGGAGCAATTAATGGGACTTGCCATCCCATTACTGGACAATGTGTGTGTAAACAATTTGTAACTGGCTTGAAATGCGACAACTGTGTTCCCAGCGCTAGTAATTTGGATGTATACAACCTATTTGGCTGCAGTAAAAGTAAGTGGTTGTCGGTCTTAAGAGCATATCTTTCAAAGTAATGGTTCTTACTGGTTTAGTGATCATTAAACAGTATAACTGTAATTCTCAAAATAAATATTGCTCAATCCAAATCTTAACTTCCCTTTATTAATCTATTAGGAGATATGTTCTGGTACTTAAAGGCATTATATGATTTTCCTTTTTCAGAGACCAAAAGATTTTGTGTAGGTGGAAGGAAAAAAATAACACTGGTGCTCCCAAGTTTTCTAGAGAGACATAATTTGTGTTGCTGGGGAATAACATGCTTTAAGAGATACTTTCCTGATCCTTAGTGATATCCTGAAGCTTGATCTAGGCAAGGTTAGCTGGCAACTTGTATTAAATTCTTTTCTACAATAAAGCTCTAGTTTGTGGATATTTTAAAGGTAAAGAAGAACTCTCCTGTTCGTGCTGGTCCTTGGATTCTGACATTAAGCAAAAAAAGGCCAGGCAATTTTAAATGTACTAAGTGTACTAATGTACTGTGTTTCTGAGTGAGCATCCCAGGGGCTATGGTGTGGCTCAAAAAAACCCTGTTGATGGTGCTTCAACCTCAAAAAATGAAGCTGGAGATCTGGACATCAACCCCTGGCAGTCAGTGCAGACAGAACCAAGCCAGCCGTAGGAAAATCAAGGTGGGATAAAAGGCAGCAGTCTGGTGGATGGGACAGACGGAGACTGGGGAAATTTCTGTTCTGTTCAGTCACAAAGTCATGCCCCCATGGACAGCATTCCTACAGGCTCTCCTGTCCTCCACCATCTTCCAGAGTCCAACCAACCCCACACCCACTGACCCGGTGTCCCCATCTAGCCACCTTAACCTCTGCCCTCCCCTTCTCCTTTTGCCTTCAATTGTTCCCAGCATCAGGGTCTTCTCCAGTGAGTCCTTCCTTCTCATTAGGTGGCCAAAGTATTTTAGTTTCATTTTCAGTACCTGACTTTCTAAATAACAGTCAGGGTTGATTTCCTTTAATAACTGATTTGATTTCTTTGCAGTCCAAAGGACTCTCAGGAGTCTTCCCCAGCACCACAATTCAAAGGTTTCAATTCTTCGGCGCTCAGTTTTGCTTATGGTCCAAGTTTCATAGCCATACATTACAACTGGGAAAACCATAGCTTTGACTATGCAAACTTTTGTCAGCAGGGTAATGTCTCTGCTTTTTGGTATGCTGCCTAGATTTGCCATAGCTTTCCTCCTGGAGAAACTAGGATATGTTTTATCCTGAGCCTCTTCCAGCTTCCTTCCACCACCTCTGACGTGCCTTTTCTGGATAGGCTGAAAAGACCATCTAGTGAAAACATAAGAGGCTGTAAGATGGAGGAACCTCCAATGTTCCTCCCATTGGGCTGGCCTCAGCCTGGCAGAACACAGGGTCTTAGAAGCTTTGGAATTCAGTGACGTGAAAGCAGTGAGCAAGTGGTTCATATGATGGTTCCTAAGTCCTTAATCTAATATGCAATGTCAAAATGCTTAATTGAAATTGTTATAGCTCTCATTCATTTCAGAAGGCCTTGTGCAGAAGAATGTCTTAACAGATTGCATCCTTAGGTTATAATCTTATATACATTTACTCACTGCTTTTTTTTGTAAAAAAAAAAAGTGCCGGAACTCATGTCGCCGGCAGTAAGCGCGCAACCACACACACCAATCCCAAGCCAAGCAGCGGAGCAGCGTCCCAAGCCGAGAGCAGCATCCTCACTATCTCACTATCAGATAGCAGACACAAAAGCAGTCTGGAGGCACTATGTTAATGATGTTTGCTGCTGATCTGCTATGATTCAAAATCACTTCGTAAAATCCATTGGAAAAAAAGGTGCCGGAACGCCATTCCGGTGTGTTCTATGACAAAAAAAGCCCTGCATTTACTAGAGAATAAGTCTTATTGAATTCAGTGGGGGATTCTTCTAAGGAGATTCATACTGTTATTGTACTATAAATGATATAACTGTATTATATCTTAGAGTCTTTCTTGTGATGTCTTTACAACTTTTTGGAAGGGGCACTTCATGCTCTGATCCCTTCCCCCATTCCATTGAATTCTATAGCCCATCAAGCCCTGGGCCTGGCCCCAGCAGCAGAACAAACCTACAAAGTTCAGAGAAAAAATAGTGAAGGAGGACAGAGAAGCAAAAATAAAAATTAAAAAATTAAAACATCCATTTTAGCAGCATGTCAGGGCATAGGATACGTGGAAGTTTCCATCATCAGATGCTTCCATCTAGCTGATGGCAGTCAGATTGGATCCATAATGTTCTCTTACACAGTTGTGAGAATTCCTGCCCTCCCTTTTAAATCCCAAATTAATTTGCAGCCCATAACTCTTTGAAATTTTTCATTTAATTAACCTTGCTGTTTGAATGTTCACCAAATGTGAACAATTTTAATTCGATATTGCTAATTTATTTATTTAAAGTGTTTATAGACTATCCATCTACTGGTATCTTGGGACAGTTACGTATCTCCAATGGCAAACTCTGTCCTTAGGCCAAGTGATAAACCTTTCTTCTAGTGGACAAGAGTCATGCTATGCTGTGAAGGTGTTTACACTATCAAATATATCATGGTTCATAGTTTTTCCTCCTTGCAGTATGTAACAGATACCCCTGTACTCATAAATGGCAAGTTGTAGTTGCTATAATTTCTGAATACCACAGGTAAATCAGAAATTATTGAGCCATGCAACAGTCTGTAGATCTTGATGTGCATGAAGTTCTTAGGTGTCTATTTATTGATTGCAGCTGCTATTTAGTATGCCTGGAAGCTGTTGTTGGTTTGTGCTGTGTAATTATACATACTTTCTAAGTGATCTTTCAAAGCTGAAAATGATAGCATTGATGTAAAATTAGTTGGAGATAAGAATCTGGAATGATGGCAGTGAGATCATTAATTGTTATCTGCACTGGACATGTAAAAATGTAGGCCTTCTCTCTGACAAAGACATGATATAATGATTCTGATTTCAGTATCAGTATCCAACTTCCACATAATACACTCATTCTGTGTGGAATGAAATTATGCACACATCAAAAGGAATCAGATAGAAGTGTATCTTCTGAAAAAGCAGCCATCTATTTGATTTCAAACTTTAAGTTAAGACACATTTGAAAGATGGAATATGTTTTCAGTGGTTTCCTGAAGAGCATTCACTGCAGGGATACTGCAGTGGCTGCCAGGAGTGTTATTTGGTCTGGGCCTCATATTCACATGGAGGGCTTTCTATTTCAGTGTGCAGAACTACATCAGAAATGACTCTGATATGTGATTGACTGTCCTTTCCATGCAGCACATAAACTGTGACACCCCAAGACAACTAATTCTTCAAAAGTTGTTGTATTGTACCTTTCTGTGTTAAAAGCATTAATTCCTTATATATAATCATTTATAATAAAACAAACTTTGTAACCCTGTTTTGGCATTAATATTCCACGAGGGCCTTAAAGAAATGGATGTGGCCAAGCCTATCTAGACATAATTGTTATTGGTATTTTTGCTGTTGCTGTTACTACTACTAACAATATTTTAGCATATTCTTTAGCTGAAAAGGCCTCCCAGAGTGGCTTACAAGGATTAATATTCATAGAATCGTAGAATAGCAGAGTTGGAAGGCCATTGGGTCCAACCCCCTGCTGTTGCAGGACACCAAGTCACACCATCCCACTCAGAAAGGCCTAGGTCTCAGGTTTATAATCTAAGGCACATCAAAGAGGCAAATGGGGTCAGGAAGGTGGACAGGAAAAAAACAAAAACAAATTTTTAGTTTCCAAGTTTTTATAGATGTTCTGTGAGAGTATCTCAGACACGTTACTCCAGACGTGAGGCAATTTTCTTCAGAAGTTATTTCCTAACACTGCCACTGCCCCTCCCCCCCCACCAATTTCTTTGCCCACAAATAGGATAATAAGCTTTGAGAAGCCATTTGTGCATATTTCTAAAACCCCAAGGCTTACCTCTGGGTGAGTGATACAGATAGCTAACTGTACACATTTTTCTGTCCCTTAAACATTGGGGAACAAGAGGACTATAATAACTGTTTTTTGTTCCTCACAAGAGGGAAAAAGGGAGTGTGATAATATAAATGCAGTGTGATAATATTTGTGTGCAAAAGTGCAGCAACACACACAGTCTTGGCTGGTTCTTCTAATCTTCTGCAGTTGCTTTTGCTCCTATTTATATTTCTGACTTATTTAGGGGTGGGGGATTATTCCTCTATGCATTGCTGCAGTATTTTTGCACAGCTTCCTAGTTCTTTGTTTAGGGAACTAAAATGTTAATATGATCTCACACTCTCAAAAACTATTTATTGTCATTATTATTGTTTCAAAGGGATCTATAAAACATTTCTTTCCTCTCTTTGGAACTGTTCCATTTCTCTTAGGGAAAAAACCCCCAGCTTTTTAAAATTGCTTTTAATCCTGTGAAGTTCTGTGTTGCGTTCATTTTCAGATCAGTTTATGAACATGTTCTCCACCAGTCCCACCATCATACAACACACAGAGAAAAATAACTTCAGAGATATGACTGCAATTTTTCTCTCAAAACAAAATCCTAAAACATATGGTAATAATGAGAACAATCTTGTGACTATTATGGGCTACAGTATATTGATTATTTAAATAACACATTCCTAAGGCTTGGAATAAGGCATCATCTTTCTTTAGACTTTTTCATTGTAGTTATTGCTCATTATATTCCAGCAGAAATAGCTTTCTTAGTCTGCAAATAAAGTGAAGAATTCTATCTTCAAGATTTTATAAGAACCTTGTACGGAAATTAACGGGAATCTTAATATTAAAATCTGAAACACATGAAACTGGAAAATATCTTTGAAGAAAGCTTATTGCTTGTGATTATGTTTATCACACACAATGTGAAGTAGGAAAAAGAGCAACACATTAGTATGATTGAACAGTCATGTTAGAAAACCCAACCGCTCACCTGTATTGGGCCCGCACTGGCGCTCTGCTCAGAACATGGCCTCTGCTTTTCTTTGGACTAGCCTGAGCAAGGGAACAAGCTGGCAGATGCCTCTTGGAGCAGTATCCCATGAAGAATGGCTAGCGCCATTGCTTCTCTTCTACAAGTGGTGTCTGCTTGCATCTGCTGTGCTGATCCACCTTTTTCCAGAAACATGCTTCAGTATGCTTGTTTGGGACTTGTTCCCAGAAGCACTGAATCTCCATGCTGTGGAGAATGGAAGTGCTAGTGGGCTCCACTGCCAGACAGAGACCCTTGGATACTGTGCTTGGAAAGAAGGACTGGTGGAAGTATGGCACAACTTTCAGTAGTGGAATGGAGGCTAGCAATGGGGTGGGTGCACATCAAGTGTTTATTGTGATTTGGATGTAAAGAGTTCAAATAGGACTAGTAATGTGGAATATAAGTTTAGTAAATGAATAAATTGTGTAGATTTCAGCCAGAAGAAACCAGTGGAGGATATTTTGGCAAACTAAAATTATTTTAGATCTTTATTCACACATTGTTCAAATTCCTGCGATGAAATGGGTGTGAGACTACTTGTTGTGTCCTTATGCTAACCCCACCCCCTAATGTCCAGCTGCTCAAGTGTAGGGCTTCCTATGATTGGAAATCCTGTGCTACCAGGTGTTGCAGGAGCTTACATGTAGGCAACTTTGCAGACAATTGGATTCATTGTGCAGATATATTGCTAGGACTGCAGCTTTGTCCCTGCTAAGAACTGAGAGCTCTGTCTATGAGTAACCTGTAAACATTGCCCTTGCGATTTGTCATGTACACTGCCTGCTTTGGTATATAAATTTGTTTTTGCAACTATACTTAAGATGTAATCCTATGCACCTTTGGATTAAAAAATACATGCTGTTAGATAACAAGCTTCTGTATTCAAATAAACCTTTTCAATGCAGGATTGATTATCATGATATAGAGTGGCTGCCTTATTACATAAGTATGTCTTTATTTTAATTCAGCTCCTTCCCAGCAGCCCCCACCAGAAGGACAAGCTCTAAATTCTTCTGCTATCAGACTAGCTTGGAATCCACCTGATTCCCCAAATTCAAACCAGCTTACTTACAAACTCTACAGAAATGGGAGTCAAATCTATACGACAGAGGACAACTACCCTTATAGTGAGTGTCTACCAATACTATCTATCTATCTGGGGATTGTTTCCATCTTTTTTGTCAGTTGCTATTCTCAACTGGAATAGTGTGTGTCTGTTACTCAGATGCTATTCTATGTAAATATTATTTTCAAATTCTATAGAACTATGATACAACTATTATTTAAGCATTTCTCAATGAATTTTCGTGTTATTTGCATCTTCTGCCACAAACTATTTTCTGATTGTTAAACATACTATGATGTATGAACACATTTCATGTCTGCTAATTTCAGTGATATCTTTTCATAGCATTACTCTATCATGGATAAACCTGTTAGCTAGAAGATAGGCTGCCATTATTCTCTCCAAGACAGCTTCATAAAGGAAAGGTCATTGAGCATCTTTGCCAGAGATGTTGCCAGATTCATGCCAATTTGGTTGGGATGAAGTCTAGAAAACAAGAAAAAGGCAAGCGTGAATTTCTGACAAGATGAACAAGTTCCCATCATGTCTGAGAGTCTAGATGTTTTTATAGAGGCCTTAGACCATGTTGCTAATCTGTGTATCCTCCATTCAATTATTCAGGATCTACACAGGTTTGTGTCCTTAGCAGGTTTATCAGGTAGGGTTGTTTTAGTTCCCTGGCAAGGGCAGGCAACAGGTTTGGTTTAAGCTAAGAAGAAATATGGAGTGAACTTAAGGAAACAACGAACAGCTCATTGCCTGAATGAACAACTTTAGTTCCCATTAATATTGGAAAGTTCCTTGCAGACCTTTAGTATGTATCCCGTTTAGCCCTAGTATCAAGTGTTCATGATGTTTCCTGGTCAGCAAGTAAGGCCATGGAGGCCAAGCAACACTGACTCTACCAATGCCACAGCCTTAACAACTCATAGTTTATGCAAGGGTTTTTTTAACTGTCACATAAGCTACCTACCCTCACTGAGTTCACATGATATGATACAATGCAATTAATATACAGTATAATAGAAATGCTACAGTACACCACTTGTCAATAAAATTAAGAGTAAAATACGGAGCAGAAGCAATTAAAGCAAATTAAAATTCTTGGTGTCAAAAAGCGTAATGTCTATGCCACCCAGTTTTTCTTGTGTAGAATGGCCACCATCACCACAGAAAAGATCCTGTCCTTTGTACATTCATAACCTACTTCATCAACTGACTGTACTTGGGGAATGGCCTTATCTAAATATAACAGTGCATGTTCCAGTTGAGTGGAGGCATGCGTCAACATATTTGGATCTTAATGTAAGCTGTTTCTAAGTAAGTACCAACATGGAAAATTGTGGTTGAAAAAAATAGGCAACTTGGCACAAGAGAGCTCCACCTATCTAAACTAATTCTAGCTGCCAAACTCAGAATTAATTGAAGCTTCCAAGTCTAGTTCCACATATTGCACATTTCAGTAATCCAGCCATGAGGGTACAAAGCATATAACACTGGTGCCAAGCATCCTCTCCAATTGATGAATAAGCTGAGGCTGGTAAAAGGTACTCCATGCAACTGAGACTACCATATCAGTGAAATTGTGGATCAAGGGAAACCAAGCACATTGACAGTGTAACTCCATCCAGAACTGTTCAAACACCAGTTTCCAGGAATCTAATAAGGATCCATGAACAGTGCCTCCACTCTGTCAGGACTTGGCCTCAGTTTATTAGACTGTAACCAATGACTAAATCCAAATAATGGTTCTCCACCTACAGAAGCCTTGGCAGCTTCTGATGACAAAGAGAGTGCTCCAGACCCTCTGATGTGCCCACCCAGTACTCCACATGGGTACTAAAGAGCATTTTTGCTTCAGTCTAAGACCCTGAAAATAACTTCTGTGATTTTGTCTTTAAGAAACCATAAGGGCATGATCCAGTGTCCTCTGCCTGGTTGCATGTAAGCCACTGATCTCAGAGGCTTATATGCATCTAGTGTATAGTGCAAGGTATAGCAGTGCCTCATGCTCTGGCCTGCATCGAGATATCCATTATCAACTGCCTAGATGAAGCACTGTGGAGTGGGAGGAAAGGAAGTGGGGACAATATTTGGAAACAGCATAAACCATCAATCCCACTCCCTTCCTCTCTGTCCCTAGCACACCCCTTTCATGTTCTCTGAGGTCAATGTACAACTATGTAGAAGCAGTCAGTGTGGTTCTTTCAGCAGCAGATGAGGAGATACTGGGCAGGGTCTCAACATTCAGCATTCACTCAGCATATGACCTCAGCACTAGGGCACCAATAATCTTATGCCCCCCAGAAACGTTGGGAGGCCATAGAATTGCATCCTAAGTCTTTTTGTTTTCATTTGTGTGCTTGCTTACTAGCTGCAAAGCTAATTGAGTATGAATTCCAGATTTTAGCTTTAGTATCCTAACAAGTAATTCAAATGTATGTGCTGAGAAGGTTAAAGCAAATAATGATACACTTCGAATTGAATAGAGTAATCCTTCTAGAACAGTTGCCCATTTTGACATTGTATTAACATAGATTTGCAGCTCTCTTAAAATGTTAACTATTGGTTGCATAATCATAGACTGATATAATCCTTTTCAACAAATCATTATTTTCTAAAGCCACAACTGTTCTTTAAACAAAAATATTACCATTCTGACATTTTCTGACAATCATGATAATTAATGATGTGAAAATAATCTACTGTTTGGCATTTGAATACTAAGAAAAATGGTTAATACTGCCAGATTTTTATGTTTATGACTTTGTTCTCAATATGTATGTAGCATCTGTAATACACACAGGAGGCCCCACCTAAGCCAACTGTGTGCATACAGGTCCTAGTACTAAATGACAACCTGAAATTGCTAATGTAGAAGCATTGAACTTTTCAAGGAAAATTAACAGTAGTCTCAAAACCTGGCTTGATTATTTGACTGATGGCTTTGCAACATTAGAGCAAAATGAATTTTAGAGTTCTTTTAGAAGAAAGGAATGTGTATTAGATTAGTTTCTAAAGCACTCTGCTGGGAAGCAAAATGAAAGAATACAAGGATATACAAGTTCCCAGTTTCAATCCTGGACACCAACAGCGAAAATGATCAGGGAAGTGGTGATGGGAAGAACCTTTGCTTAAAAACTTGAAAAGCCATTGCCTGACAGAGTACATAACACTTGGCTTTAGGTGCAACTACTGTGCCTTCTGCATCAAATATTTGTGCCTTAAGAATTTCTCAATAAATATGGCTACATCTATTGGTAACTAGTTGCAGCCAATATTGAATTATTTATTTATTTATTTATTTAAAACTTTTATATGCCGTCCTCTTTTATATGCCTTTTATATGCCGTGGCATCTCAGGACGCCTTACAAACATTAAAATAAAAAATGAATAACAATTGATACAAATATAAAGCAATATACAACCAATAAAAATAAATTAAGTCAAGAGTGACTGATTTATGATTAAAACTATTAAAACACTAATTTTTAAAATAACACTTAAATAAAAAGTGTTTAACTGTATTAAGTAGTGTACCCTTTTAAGAAAGCATTCTGGGAGAGTTAAAGAAGAAAGAAAATGTGTTCCTAAGGTCATTTCTATAGATTGATGTCTTTGCCTGGGCACTTCCCAAGGCATCTGTTTGGCCTGTAGGAAATGGGATGCTGGACTAGATGAACAGTTGGGCTGATACAGCTTCTCTTCTCTTCTCTTCTCTTCTCTTCTCTTCTCTTCTCTTCTCTTCTCTTCCTGTACCATGATGCTATAGATTAAGTGAAAGCAGTATGTCCTTTATGTATGTAAAAGGAAACTTATTTTATTGATGTATTATTATTATTGATAATCAACCTCGTTAATTAATCTTATTTAAATGTATAAAGCAAAAGAATTAAGCACACAGACATAGAGATAAAATGTATTTTATCATGTTGTAAGCCGCCCCGAGGTTTCGGCAAGGGGTGGCATAGAAATGTTATAATAATAATAATAATAATAATAATAATAATAATAATAAAACCATCAACAGGATGCAGCATATCAAATCTTTTAACAATGTAAGAGAAAAAATTGAAAGAAATGTTTGGTTTCAGCTTTAACAAAACAAACAAGCCTAAAAAATGCAAAGATAAAATGCAGAAATAAAGAGAAAATAGGATTGCAAAGAGTCTGGAACTGCATATTTCATATCCTAGTTCCACTAATGTTTTTGCTAACAATGAGAAGAAATTCATGGTTAAATATTTTTCATTTTTAACAGAAAAGTGTTTTAAAGCAACAATAATTACCAAGTATCTAGTCTAATGTATAACATGCAATTAATCTTTTTAGTACAGTTATTTTAGGCTGTTGGTTTTCTTAAATATTATTTTAGAAGGAAAAAAAGAGAATAAAGCTATAGTCCTGTGTAACTGGTTTTAAGTCCAATAGCAGTGCATCAAAACCCTAACCCTATGTAAGATTCCATTTTTTCTCCAATGGTAGTCCCCACTTTATGGAATTGATATTTCATCTCACTGAAATGCATACAGATTCAGCTCTGCAACTATCCAAACACATTTTAGCACTCATTTATTTGGGCTACTTTTTCTTGAATGGGGTCTTTTATTTATGTAGCTTTAACAAAAAATAAGAATTCAGTTAAAGGGATAGCATTTTTTATGTATTAGGTGTCCCATTTTGTCTCTCTTTGTCAATTGACCTATATTTTATAGTTGCATGTATGCTACTGTCTAGCTCTATTGTGAACTTACTTAAAATGTATGTGATATTTCTTTGTATTTATGAACCTAGAAGGAGATCTATACATATCATAAAATAAATGCATAACTTTTATGTACCTTTCATAGGCATGCATGTCTTCACTGACAGCTCCTTGCTCCCCTATGTCTCCTATTCATACCACCTTGAGGCCAGCAATATCCATGGATCTACAAGAAGTACTGCCTTGATGTACAGGACATTGCCAGGGGTACCAACAGGGAGTCTGCATTTAAGTCCAATTCTTCCTGTTGGGCCACACTCTGTTTCACTCAGCTGGACAGCCTTAGCAAATGACTCTGGTCCCATAGAGAAATACATCTTGACATGCACTTCTTCACTTAACCTTCAGCCTTGTGGCCAATATGAAGGCTTAGAAACTTCTGTAACTGTTCAGAATTTGTTTCCATTTGCAAAATACATTTTTTGCGTTCAAGCATGCACTGGCGGTGGCTGTTTGTTGAGCCAGCAGGTGACAGTCATGACTGCACAGGCCTCTCCCGAGGAGCAGCAGCCTCCAGTCGTCCATAGCATCAGTGCTACAGAGTTTGCTGTTGAATGGGCTCCTCCCAAGAAAGCCAACGGTAGGATTTTCATAACTCTAGTTTCAGGAGAATGCAAGCATATTTTCCCTACATAACTGAAATGCTCTATTGTATTGGGTCCTCGTATTCTTTACATTATTATTACTGGGCACAATCTATCCCCACTGTTAACACCTGCGTATACCAGCTTATGAGGTGACGAGGTCAATATTTTGGACTGTTTTTCTGGTGTTTGTCCTATTTTAGGAATATAGAGACTAATTTTTGCTTCACTATTCCTGGTTTCAGGGTCCTCTTATATTCATATATGGGTATATCTCTAATTAAAAAATGAAAATATCTCTTGGAAAAAAATCTGAATATCTCTGCAAAATCTGATGAATAACTTTAGAGGCTTTGAGCCCACTCTGAGAAAAAACTTATGACTGAGGCTCGCTAGTACTAAGAGAAAAAGCATGGCATCCCCTGCCTGAGGAGGAGATTTTCATATGTATTGAAGGAAGTAGGCAGTGCAGTGTGGTTCAAGTTCCTTCATGTGTGTGTCTAGTTGAGCCTTAGGCTGTTCTCCTGCTACATGTGGGGCTGAATATTTAGGAGGATGGATTTACAATGTATCATTATTGTCACTGTATTTATATTGTGCATCAGTGGACATGGTTTCAGTAGTAAGCACTAGTTACAGAAGCAGGATTTTAGTTGCTTTCAGATTGACATCTATCTTTGTTAACCAGTCATGATTATTTCTAGGCATAATTATTAGATATGAACTCTATATGAGAGGAGCTCTGCAAATGAATGGAAGCCATATTCCCCCAGAGAGCCGAATCTTCCAAACCAGTGGATGGTTCAGTCCTTATCCAGTGACCGAATCTGCCAACGAGAATGCTTTGACACCGCCTCTAACAAGCACCATCATCACTGGCTTGGAGTCATTCACTGAGTATGAATTCCGTATTTTATCAGTCAATATGGCTGGGAGCACATTTTCAAGTTGGACATCACAGAGAACAGCAGAGGCAGGTAATTGCTAGCCATTCCCCAAAATGTACTTGCTAAGTGTTTCAAAACAAACCTTCCTATTTCCTGCAGTTTGAATATGCTTCAGGTTTCTCTTGAAATATGTAACTACCATGTATAGAACCCATTGATCTTTTAATAATGTGCAGTTAATTAGAGTTCACTAGCAATGCCTAGTGGGGAAGTTACACATACACAAGTTTATCCCAAATGTATTAGCTAAAATAGGGGCTTAACGTAAGAAGGATGGACAGATGGCTGACACCTGTCCCTCCTTCTGATCCTGCCCCCAACCAGAGGGCGCCAGGTAGCCTTGTCAACCACCCCTCGGGTCTGACGGTGCTGCTGCTCAATGCCAGGTCGGTCAATAATAAATCTTCCCTCATCTATGACTTGATTGTGGATGAGGGGGCCGACCTGGCTTGCATAACGGAGACCTGGGCGGGAGAGGGAGGGGATATAATAATAATAATAATAATAATAATAATAATAATAATAATAATAAAATATATAGGGGGTAGCCTTACAGAGAAAATTGTGGTGATACTAGCAACATATCTTTATTTTTTTATGGGATGTGTGTGTGTGTTTTCATTTTCACAGATCCTTCAAATCACGTTTTATCTTCACACTGATATGTTAGGGAGGATGTATCTTGAAACTCAGTGAATGCATGCTGGAACCACATGTTATGGAGCATGGTGCTGCTCCCAAAAGCCAGTTCTGTATCATTGGCACTTTCTTTATAATTTTCTTGCCAGTAATGTCTGTTTGGGTTATTTTTTATCATCTAAACATATAGGAAATCTACTACTATATTAGTGTTGGGGTATTGCTAAGCATTTTACATATAAATATTAAAAATCACTATTAAAAACAGTTTGTTTTCAGGTGAGGTATCCAGAGTATAGCCCGATCTAGTTTTCTTAATTGAGGTTCAGTTAGTACAAGTCAAGGACTCTGGTAAGGTGCTTGTACAGGTTCATGCAACTGTTTCCATACTGGATAGTTCTATCTCTTAACTTAAAAAGGTAGGAAGGAAGGAAGAGCTGGCTGGGTCAGGAAGGTGATTAATACTTCTTTGCAAGAGGGAATGGTCCCATGTTGTCTGGATGAGATCAATGATCAGGATCCATGTCAGTTGCACTTCAGGCCAGGTTTTGGCAAGAGACCAGCTCTAATATATTACAGGAAATATATGCAGAACCTATGACAGGGGAGCTATGACACTGTTCATACTCTAGGAATTCACCATGAATCCAAGTACCCTTTTGGAGCCAATGTCCAAGCTAGAAGTGTGCATGTGGGTGGGTCAGGGGATACTGCATGGCAATCATTTCACTCTTGCTTGGATGGCTGTCTGCAGAAAGCCATGCTTGGAGAATATTGCATAGCATCATGGATTCTGCAGCATGGGCTTGCCCAGTGATCAATTTTGTCTCATGCTATCCAATATCTATATGAAACTGCTGAGGGGTGTCATGAAGAGTTTTGGAATGTGTTGCCATCTATATGTTGATGACATGCAGCTCTTCTTTTCCTTTTCATGTTCAGCAGGGGAGACTGTGGAGCCAGTGTCTGTCTATAACAACAGACTGGATAAGGGCTAACAAACTCAATCCAGACAAGACTGAGATGCTTTACTTGGTAGCTTTCCTAACTGGATGATTGGTGCTCAACCTGTTCTAGAGAGAGTTGCACTCCCTTTGAAGGGGCAGGTTAATAGCTTGGAAGCCACAGTGGAGTCATCACTGTCATTTAAGGCTCATGTGGCCTCATGCCATGGAGTGCCTACAGCAGCTTTGGCCTGCTGTATCCCTTCCTGGATAGGTATAACCTGATTTCAGTCACCCAAGCACTGGTAATCTCCAAGTTAGATCACTGCAAAGCATTCTGTATGGGGCTGCTCTTGAAGACTGCTGCAGCTTGTATAATATGTGGCAGCCAGAACAATAGTTGGAACAGAAGGTTTGAACACAGCACACAAATTCTGGCCCACTTTCTTTTGCTATGTATATGCTTCTGGACATAATTCAAGATCCTGCTCTTAACCTTTAAAGCCTTATCTGTCCTAGGACTGCATTACATGATGAAACACCTGTCCTGACCTGAATCTACCCAGACACCATGCTTAAAATCTGATGCCTTCTCCCAAATGCTACCTGCAAGGGAGGCTTGGAGCATAGTGAAAGGAGAGGATTTATGGCATAATAATGTCCCCACTGAGGCTCAGCTGGAGCCAGCACTGTCACCTTTTGGGGCTTTTGGGGAAATTGCTCAGGGTAGGAAGGGAAGACGACCAGAACCAGCAAGATAGGAAGTATTCTGTATGTTAAAAGGTTATGTGTTATTTTATCATTTATGGGTGGCATAGAAATGAAATAAATAGAAATTATAATTTCAGCTATAATAACAATGAGAAGCAATGCAAAGAACCATAAGATGGTATAACATATTAATAAATTGCAATTATTGTTGTATAAGAAGTTCCTATAACCTGACTGTATTAACACATTTTAGTCCCAGATGTACTTATCTGGAGGTAAATCTCTCTGATTTCCATTAATTTGATTTTTAAAATGTTATGAAAGGTTTGTAATAGTTTATTTTATGTCATCCATATGGATTCCTCAATTCAAAATATATTTTAGTTGGACACAAGTGCCACTGATTTCTCTCAGATGGGACGTGTGTGTGTGTGTGTGTGTGTGTGTGTGTGTGTGTGTGGCTTAAAGCCAAGGCTGTTGTCTTCATTGGTTTGTGGAATGAGCAGTTAACCTTAAAACATCTAGCAGATTTTGCTGGAGTATATTCTCAACTGATATTTTCCAAGAGTAAAGTTATGTTTTAGTTCTTACATAGGATTTTAAACTAAAGATATATCCTGTAGAAGGCACATATCACATAATTAAACATCTTGGATATATCAGCTATTCTAATGCAAGAGAGACATGTTAATTTCAAACCTGCTCAGCAATTAAATTTACTTTGACAATATTTAAGTGTTCAACAATCTTTCTTCTAATCAGGTTTTCCCAGGTCACAGGAAAGGTGTGTTTTAAAAATCCATCTCCTCTACTATTATGTGAAAACTACATTGTGTTTCAGATTTTAAGTGCTGGTTAGTGTACCATAAAAATAATAGATTCCATACTTTGCCTATAGGTGGGATACACTTACTTTAAAGCTGTAGCATTGAAAACCATATGAAAATTCCTTTTAGACCTGAAAATTAATTTCTACAAGCTGCTTATTTAGGAATTGGATGCAAACAGCCATTTTATCAAGTTTAACAGATGGTATTTTACAAATATAGTGGGAAAACTTGCATGACACATGTTGTTCATTTATTTTATGATAAATTAGCACATTTATTTGTATTTTAGCTCCTGTATTCATGCCACCTCCATCAGTATTCCCTCTTTCACCATATTCTCTCAATGTATCTTGGGAAAAGCCACAAGATAATGAAGCAAGAGGAGAAGTGATGGGGTACAGCGTCAATGTAATTACCGAACAAAAAGTATCGCCAGTGTTTTCTCAGGTATCATTGTTATTAGCAATCTGTTTTCTCTGTTTATTGATATATGGGTGATATAAAGTGGTCCCAGTGTTTTTGGCTATGCCAAATTATAATTTGCCGATGGAGAAATGCTTGCAGTTGTCAAAGTACAGTGGGGGCGGGGGTGGAATGAAGTTGTTATTATGGCAGGTTGCCCATGGCGGAACAGACTATCTATTTGCCTCTGCATGAGACAACATGACTTATTTTTTGGCAGACAGTTCTCAAGTGAAATGTCTCTTTGGTTGTGCACATGAAGGCATGATTTTATTCTGAAGGGATGTATAAGTGGCCCAGTGCAAATGTAACATTTTCTAATCTCCCTATCTCTTCTCTTTTACCATGTGAAATTGATCAATTATTATTAATTTAGAAATGTATACTCTACCTTCTGCAGCATCTTACATTCCCATACTGAAATAACAATCCAAGTGCAACAAATATAGAAATGAACCTTGGCATAGCAAACAAAATCCCTAAACAGGTTGCATAGTATAAAATATAATCTGCCTAGCAATCCAAAAGATTGTTGGTACAGGAAGGTTTTTACTAGTCTCAGAACGTCATGGAGGAAGTGACCTACTGAACTTCATGGGGTCCACTTGGGTCCTGGTATTCCATAATTTGCATGTGGTCACTGAGAAGGTTTTTTCCCTCATCCCAATTTATTGTGTCACTATCAATGGGACCCTCCTTTAGGGATAGGCAAATGAGTGATGTTTGAGATGGCTAAGAGTCTCTGAATTTCATGCCACCACCCATCTCATGGCCAATTCCTGTTCACCTTTGCTGTTGCTATTTGCTTTTCCTGAACAGAAAAAATGGGCAATCAGGACATGACTGAAGGTGAAAGTTATGCAGATTCCCTCCACAGATGCAGCTGAGAGGTACAGTGGGGACCATCTTCCTAGGGCAGGTCTCTAGAAGGCAACCAGCACTATGTTGGTCTTAAAACCAGTTCTAAAGCCAGAATGAAATGTATCTAGAACATCTATTTTATCCAATGGTGTCCTGCAACAGCAGGGGGATTGATCCAATGGCTTTCTTGACCCCTTCTAACTCTACTATTCTATGATTCTATAAGTCTATAGTCCAGGGGTCTCAAACTCAACTTACCTGGGGGCTGCTGGAAGTAGAGTCTGGGTGAGGCTGGGCCGCATCAAGTATTCCACCACCACGGTGGTGGTGGGCTGCTCATCCCGTGGCCAGACAGGGCACCGCCGGCACTTTGAAGCCTGCGAGGCCCCTCCCTTGTGTCCCGCCCATCCCGGCAATTGGCCCGTGGGCCGCGAGTTTGAGACCCCTGCTATAGTCTATGATTTCCTGTGGTTAAAAAACTGTCATATTAGTGGAAAGTAATATAAATGCTGTCAGATCGACCATTTTGACTCTGTTTCCTTTGCAGGTTTTGTATATCGCTGACACTCATGAACAGTTCTACATAGTGACGGGACTGGAACCATACAAAATTTACAATTTTGAGATTACTCTTTGCAATCGGCAGGGTTGTATCAACAGTGAGCCAGGAATGGGACAAACCTTAGCTGCTGGTAAGTGTGGAAAATTGCATCCAAATTCAAAGTTGGCACCTATCTTTCTAAAGTAGATGATTACAGGTTGATGCATAGTGACTAAGATTGGTGTTACATTAATACAAAGTGACTAGCTTAATCAGGTGTTTGTTTACCTTGACAGATTAAAAACAAAACACCATGTTTACCACATAGGTTTGTAGTATATTAAAAAGCCGTATGGGTTTTTTTTCTTAATGAGGTCATTTAACCTATTTTTGTTTGTTTTGCATTTTCTAAAAATAAACCATATGTACTTAATGAAGTTAATAATACGATTCTATTGGTAGTACCTACCACATAAACAGCAATTTTAACACTTATTGAACTTCTCCTTCAACCTGAGCTCCATAACTTGTTTCTCTTGGATACCTATTGTATTAGAAACATAGAAACAGAGCGAGTCAGAAGGGGCCTCCCGGGCCATCTAGTCTGACCTCCGGCACCAGCCAGCTCCGCTCACGACATGCCCACCATGTGGACGTCCATCCTATCCTTGAACACCCACACCAATGGGGCCTCAATGACCTCTCATGGAAGCCCATTCCACACCCTCGGGGTCCTGACTGTCAGGAAGTGCTTCCTGGCATCCAAATGGAACCTTGGCTCCCTGAGCTTTGCTCCATTGGAGCGTGTCCTGCCTTCCTCTGCAGGGGAGAACAAGTCTCTACCCATCTCCATGTGACATCCCCTCACATACCAGTATGTCACCAGCATATCCCCCCTGAGTCTCCTCTTCTCCAGGCTGAAGAGACCCAGTTCCCTCAGTCTTGCCTCATACGGCATCCCCTGCAAACCGGCCACCAACCTTGTGGCCCTACGCTGCACTGACTCCAACCTGACTATATTCTTTCTGTAATGAGAGGCCCAAAACTGAATGCAATACTCCAGTTGCAGGTGCACCAGAGTCGTGTAGAGTGGTAGTAATACCTCTCTTGATCTCGAAGCCACACTTCTGGCTATGCAACCAAGGGTGGAGTTCGCCCTCTTGACCACCGCATCACACTGCTGACTCATGTTTAGCCTGCAGACAACCAGTACCCCAAGGTCCCTTTCACAAGTGCTGCTCTCCAGCTACTTGTCACCTAACCTGTACTTAGGACAGCTATTCCTATGCCCCAAGTGCAAGACCTTGCACTTATCCACATTGAACGCCATCCTGTTGTCTCCTGCCCACTTCCATAGTCTGTCCAGATCCTTTTGGATCTGGAGTACCTGCTCCTCAGTTGTGGCCACTGCTCCAGTTTTAGTGTCGTCTGCGAACTTGATCAGCAGACTGTTCACCCCTTCTTCCATGTCATTAATGAAAAGATTAAACAGGATCGGCCCCAGGACAGAGCCCTGGGGGACTCCGCTTGTCACTGGCCGCCATACCGATGATTCCCCGCTAATGGTTACCTTCTGCTTTCAGTCAGTCAACCATGCCCCAATCCACCGGACAGTGCTTTGGTGTATCCCAAAACTTCTCAGTTTCTCCACCAGGATATCATGGGGCACTTTGTCAAAGGACTTGCTGAAATCCAGGTATACCACATCCACTGCATCCCCTCCATCTAGCCATCTCGAAACCTTGTCATAGAATTCTACAAGGTTTGTCTGGCAGGACCTGTTTTTGCGGAAGCCGTGTTGTGTGGCTGTCAGCCTCCCTTCCCTATCTAGCATCACTAGAACTCTCTCTATTATGAGCCTTTCCATGGTTTTTCCTACAATGGACGTAAGGCTAACTGGTCTATAATTCCCCATGTCCTTTCTACTACCCTTTTTGAAAATTGGGACTACTGATGCCACCCTCCAGTCCTCTGGAACTTCACTCATTCTCCATGAGGCCTCAAAAATGAAGGCCAGCGGGCGTGAGAGAACCCCTGCCAACTCTCTAAGTACTCTCGGGTGCAACCCATCAGGGCCTGGCACCTTTGTAATGTCCAATGCCCTGAGGAGCCCCTCGACTTCAAGGGGGGTGAACTCTAATCTGTTCCCCTAAGTCCCCAGCCTCATCTAATCTCCTATGCGGATATCCCCCATCCTGCTTTGGGGAGAACACAGAGGCAAAATAGTCATTTAGCATCTGTGCCTGTTCCCTCATATCAGTCACTGGATCTCCTTCCTCCTTATTTAGTGGTCCCACCACTTGTCTCCCCTTCCTCTTCCTATTTACATGCTGAAACAAGCCCTTTTTGTTGATATTCCTGGCAAGTCTCAGCTCGTAATCAGCCGTAGCCTTGCGAAGAATCCTTCTGCAATGGGCCTCCTCCTCCCGGTATACCCTTTTGTCTATTTCCCCCATTACCCATTTCCTACGGAGGTTCCTCTTTCGTCTAATTCCTCTAACCACCTCCTTTCACATCCATGGCAGCACTCTCCTCCGCCTCCCCACCTTGCTGACTAGAGGTATCATCAAGGCTTGCGCCTCCAAAACCTCCCTTTTGAGTGCTATCCACCCCTTCTCAACTCGCTTACCTTCCAGTAACCTATCCCAGGAGACTTTCCCCAGTCTGGCCTTCAGTTGGCCAAGGTTGGCCCTCTTGAAGTCCCAGCTTCTAGTGCTCGACCTGCTGCATGTCCCCAGTCCCCTGATCTCAAAGCAAAGAATGGAGTGATCACTCGCATCCAGAGCTCCCCTAATCTGTACTTCATCTGTCAGCTCCTCCCTATCGGTCAAGACCAAGTCAAGGATGTTTCCCCCCCTCATCGCCCCTCGGACCCTCTGTGTGAAAAATGCTCCCTCTATAGCTTCTAGGAAGCAACGTGACCTGGCTGTCACCGCCGAGTGAGTCTTCCAAGTAATATCCGGGAAACTGAAATCTCCCATAATTACTGTGTCTCTTCCCCGAGATATCCTTAGAATCTGGACATCATCCAGGGTCTCAAGTTGACTGGAGGGCGATAACATACCCCCACTGTCAGGTCTCTTTCCCTGTCAAAACCCCTAAGTTTCACCCGGACTGCCTCTACCGAATCTCCATCTGTGCTGCATTCTATCTCACTGCATCCTATTCCTTCCCTGACGTATAAAGCCACGCCCCCACCTCTCTTTCCCTTCCTGTCCTTTCTAAAAAGGTGATACCCTTCTATGTTCACATTCCAGACTTGCCTTTCATCCCACCAAGTTTCTGTGATTCCCACCAGATCATACCCTCCTATTCCCAGGAGAGCTTCAAGCTCTTCCTGCTTATTACCCATGCTCCTAGCATTGGTGTACATGCACCTCAACTCCTTCCCACCGCTTCCTTTCCTTGGAGTTCCCAGCCTCCTCCTTCCTCCCATCCTCCCTGATACCTGGTCCCTCTCTGTAGGAGTCCTGTCAGTCCCTGCAGTATCTCTAAAACCCTGCTCCCAGAGCCCTGATCCTCCCCCCACACTTGTCCAGTGCAGATACGTTACTGGGGGGCCTGAACCCCCCCCCCCCGGCTCAGTTTAAAGTCTTCCGGACGAAGCTCGCTAGAGCATCTCCAAAGGACCTTTTCCCCATCCTCGTGAGGTGTAACCCGTCCCTTGCCAGAAGTCCATTGGCAAGAAAACGAGTGCCGTGGTCGAGGAACTCAAAGCGTCCCTTCTGGCATCACACCCTAAGCCAGTCGTTCACCTCAGAAGCCCTCCTGTCCCTTCCTGGCCTAAATCCCCGGACAGGTAACATTGATGAGAAGGCCACTTGGGCCTTCAGCTCCCTGAGTTTCTTCCCCAAGGCCTCAAATTCCCTGGTGGTCCCAACCACACCCTGCCTGGCCACACCGTTTGTGCCCACATGGATCACCAGGAGTGGCTGGTGACCCCCGGAGCGAACAAGACACTCCACTCTGTCCTTTACATGCCGGATACGTGCGCCCGGCAGGCAGCAAACCTCCCTTGTCTCCAGGTCGGGGCGGCACACTGCCGCCTCAGTGCCCCTCAGCAGGGAGTCCCCAACAACAATCACCTGCCGCCGTACCTTCCAGGTGCTGGTGGGCGGCTGTGCCCTGGCCCTCGCCTCTCCTGCAGCGGCCCCCTTGCCGCCTGACGTCCCAGGCTGGGGGTCCTGCTGGTCCCCCGAGGACTCATCAGCCCCAGCCTCCCCAAGTGGAGAGAACCTGTTTCCCAGCTCCAGATTGCTGCCAGGAGAAGGAGGAGGCTGTGCTGGCCTCCTCCTCCTGTGGGTGACATACCTCCATGTCTCTGCAGCTGCTCCTCCCATGGTTTCTCCCTCAATCCTGAAGGAGCGCTTACATCCATATATGCCTGACCGCCCCTTGAGATCTGCGGGAGAGGCCCTTCTCCAGGAACCTCCGTTAAAGAAATTAGGAGGGTAGGTACTTGGAGGAGGGCTTTCTCTGCGGTGGCGCCCAATCTATGGAATATGCTCCCCAGAGAGGTCCGCCTGGCGCCGTCGTTATTTGTTTTTCGGCGCCAGGTGAAGACTTTTTTATTTAAACATCATTTTAATTGTTAACAATATTTACTTATTTATCTGGCCAGGGCGACTTCTTTTCTGTTCTTTTATAACTTCTTTTATATCGTTTATATTTCTTATTTATTTTATATTATTAATTTTAATTTTATATTGTTATTTTTGTATTGTATTGTATTTTATTGTGTTGTAAGCCACCCCGAGGCTTCGGCAAGGGGCGGCATAGAAATGTTCTAATAATAATAACAACAACAACAACAACAACAACAACCCTCTGTCCAGAGGGGGGCTGCTCTGGGGGGGGGGCCTGGAGAGCTCTCTCGGCCCTCAGGCACCTCACCTCTTCTTCTAGCAGGGTCACCATCTTGCACCGAGGGCAAGTGCATCCCTGCCTCTCCTGGGGGAGAAGGGCAAACATGTCGCAACTGTCGCAGCGGACAGCAACATCCGTGACTCCCGCCAAGGCCATCTCCTAGTCTGCCATCGGTATCCCTTCTGAGACCTTACCTTGGTCCCCTGCCTTGTTAGTCCTGCAGTTCCACTCACTTGCCCAGTTCTCCCAGACAAAAACCCACTCGCACACACACACAAGGATAAA